TCCCAGCTAAATATCTGGGCAGGGTTTGGAATAGGGGATCTCAACTTTCCAACCTTTTTAGTATATATGGGTGCTGGTTCAAGTCTGCCTACTTTGTCTTGGTAGGGATGGCGTGGGGACAGGGAGTCGGGAGTTGGTGGACTCACACATCATTGGGAGGTATGGGTGAAGAAGCATTCTGTTAACTGCTGTCCTGGAGACATCAGGAGTCTGTTCCTTGAGGAGGCAGAGAAGGCAGTTTTCTGAGGGGAAAAAAAAAATAGATTTTTACCATGGGCCCTAAGAACAGGGCTAGCCGTGGGAAGAGTGAAGATAACCAGAAAGAATGGGACCGAGAAGTGCCCTGGCTGTATAAAAGAGGCAAGAGTGAATGAGTGAGACGTGAGAGTAGATGTGCCCTTCAGTGGGACATTTTGGAAAACCAGGTCCCAGTTGCTGGAGAGGTGCCCACCTGGCGAGGTGGTACCAGCACTGATTTGATGTCCCAGGAGCACACCAAATCGAGGGGTGATATGTTCCAGGAGTACCTGCTATTTTCCTGGAGGTGGGGTGTGCCTCCATCCATTCTGTAGAGGTGTCAACTAGAGTTAAGAGATAATGGAGCCTTTTATGATTGGGCCTGTGGGTGAAGTCAGCTTGCCAGTACTTGCCTGGTTGGTGTCCTCTGAGCTGGTGCAGGGGCTGGTGTATTTGGCCTGAGGAGTGAACCAGTAAAATATGGGCTGAAAGATGGGTGGGGTCAAAGAGGGCCTTTGGGGTCTGATATCAGTTCCAACTAGACCATATTTCTTGATACAGTAGCAGAACCCTTTCTCTAGGATCCTGCAGGTTTCTGGTAAAACAGCTGGAGCAGATTTACAGCTTGGTGTCATAGAAAAAGGCTGTGGCTTTGAGTTAAAAGGTATGAACATTTTTAGAAGACAAACAGGAAATTTACTGACCAAAGGAGGTTGAGTGGAGGAGGAGGATGGAGTTGAACACACCTGCAGGGTTTCATACCCTCTTTATTGCTAACCTGGTTCAGAGGGGGAAGAGTTGGCATTTCGGCAGAGTTTTGTCATATGTGGCGGAAGACAGTGCAGTAATGCTGAAAAGACCTCTGTCAGTTTATCAAAACTGGATTCATCAGTGCTGAAACTCTGAACCCCCAAAGTTACCTCTGAAACCTGTTTATCTTGTACTATGAAGCCTGTGAATGAGGCAAACCTGTCTGTGACTTTAACTGATGAACTAATGAGCTGCCACGGTATTGTAGCCGTGGGGTTTGGGGGAGAACTGTTAAACTGGTGAGGCTCTCAGTCTGTACCCATCAGATCTGAGAAGGATAAACATCACCTGAGTAGGCAGAAGTGAGACAGCTTTGCAGCTACTTAGGGCAGCTATCCCAGGTTTCTCCACGGCTGTTGGGAACACAGGTCCCAGGGCAGTTAGCAGTTTCAGCTGCCAGGCCCAGAAGATCTGACAGACTTTCCTGTGGAGTAGGAAATTGGGGAGAGTGGTCTACCTTGTCTTGACCAAGAAGAGCAGTCAATTCCCCAGTGTCTGCTTGTCCACAGTCTGGACAGGGTCTTGTCAACAGTTAAAGTACAAAGCTGTTTTCCACTCTGTGACTGGCCTACATTTAAAGCAAGCTTCCAGATGGAAGTTCTTCTGCAGCCATCCATCTTCTCTGAAGGAGATACAGGATGCTGCCAGGAGCTGGCATGCTGCTCTCATGAGAAGCTTTTTTTATTAAAATGCCATATTCTCAGATCTATGAAGTGTTTGAGGATCAGGGTATTGTTATATGTTAGGCATATCTAAGCTAGACAAATGTTGCTTAGGCTTAACTTTGAGAAAAAAAATATATATATTTTTATATATATATATTTTAGTTTACCAAATTAGCTACAGCTTACCAAAGTTAGTAAAAGAAAGAAGGTTAGACATATATTTTAAATTGGTCTTTGTTAGCCTGAATATATATACTTTAGATAAGAAGAGACTCTTGTCGTACTGTTAAGTCATTGTCTTGCTGCATCATAGAATAGGAATATTGCAGTCTCTTGTGTTCCGATGTGGTCCTAAGTCATAGAGCCATAATCTTAATCTGTGGAAGGCCAAACCAAGCTTTATTATTGTTACAAAAATCTGACTGTCAGCAAAATACATCCCTGCACATGGATGCCTAGAGGGGTAAGTTTAATACCTCATTTTTAAATCCTAGTATTCATAAACCTTGTGTTTATGACAGGACAGGAATTATATAGAAATCTATCCTAATGTAAAATAACTTGGAGACCTGGTATCTCCTGGGTGGGCTCACTCCACATGGTCTACTTTATTTAAGATAGTGACGAAGTCATATGACCTCCTCTTTGTAACCTTAGTCATAATGGCAGCCCACGTGTTATTTCCCAGAAAAATTCCAATTTGCAATTACAAGTTGTAAATTAATTTTTTGTTACAGATTTTTAACCATACCCAATTTCTGAGCTATTTTTATTTATTAAGATAGAACAGCATAAGATAACTTTCTCTGTCATCATATCAGATTCAGCAAAGCCCAGAGGCAAATTCTGAGCCCAGGCAGCTGGTTATAATAGCAATAGCCGAGCTGTTACCAGGACAGACGGAACATGTAAACCCAGACATTCAAAACCAGACAGAAACAGCATTCAGTGACCACATATTTCGGTGCACACAGAATAGATGGGACTTTTTCAGCAGAAAGACAGACAAAACTTTCTTTGGGAAACCTTGTCAGATGACCAAATTACAAATCCTGAAATGAGAGTTTACAGTATTAGAAACCATAGGAATAGAAGACCCTTCCTGGCCATAACACAGCTCCTGTCTGGTTGGGGCAGCTTGCTGAGGGCAGCCGGGCACTGCCATTCATGGGGAGCAGGTGGCAGCACCTCAAGCCCTGGAGGAGGTTCTCTCTCTCTCTCTCTCTCTCTCTCTCTCTCTCTCTCTCTCT